GAGTCGTTCCGAATGACGCGGGGCAATCGGCCTGGAACGTGGAAAAGCGGTGCAATTAAACGAACGGGGAGACATAACCGTTTACATCCGGCCGGCGTTCCGTATTATCGCGGTCTATTTTTAACGTTAATAACGGGACGCGTTCGCGGGCGCAACGATATCGGTCGACACGGGCTCCCGTTGTCGAGCTGATATCGAGCGCGTAAAGGCACGTTTACAACGGAGCCGCGATAGCAGCTAAGGGGGCTGCGCGCTCGCGGCAGCTTGGAAATTCATGTTTCCACGGTGGAAATGAAAACCGAGTGGAATTTTATCCCCATCGTTGCCAGAACGCTTTCAATAAACTGCAAACGAAACGAGACTACTGTATATTTCATTGACAACGGCGGATTTATAGTTCATTCGTCGTGAAAATATTTTCATACGCCAGGAATGCCGGGGAATCGACAACATAATCGTAACGTGTTCATGGCTGTATCGATAAGGAAATAGGAACACTTCCATCGATTCGATGGTTCCTGGTTTAAACTGCCAACGATTGAACAGATTTTTTAAAGTATTTTGAACATTTTTCCTAGAGATCTGAATTTTCAAGTGTGTAATAATATTTTATTATTGAAATGATTACTTTATTTATTTTTTTAAATTCTCATTCGGACGGGGATTGTTCAAAATATTTTGAATATTTTCCCTGGATATCTGAATTATCAATTAAAGTCTTAAACATAGACAAGTTTGTAATAATATTTCATGATTGAAATGATTAGAATATTTATTTTAAAATTCTCATTCGGGCGAAGGTTGTTCAAAATATTTTGAATATTTTCCCTGGATATCTGAATTTTCAATTGAAGTCTTAAATATAGACAAAATTGTAACAATATTTCATGATTGAAACGATTAGAATATTTATTTTAAAATTGTTATTGGAACGAAGATCTTTCAAAGTATTTTTAAGATTTTCCATAAATATGATTGAAGTTTTGAATCTGTGCGCAGGAAAATTACACTGATCTGTTGTTGTTCACATGGTCAGACTATTTACTTGAAAATCTCTATTCCAGGGATGTTATTTTGGTGCCGCCCATATTGCGACATTCGTCCTCGAAGAGTTAATTGTTGCCCGAAGTGTTCACGACGAGGAACCCAATCGTCCCAGCATCGGACCATGTGTACGAGAGCTGGAAGCATAAACGAAGGCTTCCGTGTGATTTCGTGGGCGGCCGGAGGATCTCGTTTCAACCCGGTGTGCCGTGTGTCAACAAGCTCCGCGGCCAATGTTGGCCTTCGGAATCGTCCCCGCTCGGCCGAGCATGCGAGCCTTGCGGAAACCGCTTGATCCTCGTTTCTCGCGAGGTCCATGTACAGGGTGAGTCATTTAACACGTTGCGTACCGCTAACGAGAAATCTCGTTTTTATATAAGGACACTTAGCTATGCAACTTCGTTAATTACCACATTGAAGAAATATAAAATTTAATTCCAATTGATTGTCTATTTAAAATATATTACATAACAATATGATATCTGAGTTTTTCTATGTACAGTGATATAAGTTGACCTCAGTGAAAATTGCCGCACAATTCAGTTTTCTGAAAATTAGACGGTACGCAATGTGTTGACAAAATGATCCACTCCTGATTTCTTCTTTTCGCGATTATTAAAAAAATAGCAGATTCTCTGGGGGTTATTAAAGAAATTGATTTGGTAATATGCAAATTGAATAATGAATCAATTAAAGTTTTAATAGATGCACTCTTGAAGTTTCTATAGAGAAGTTTCAAAATTAATTTCATTGCTCGGTAGTTCGAGTTATGAAGTATTATACGTTTCCTTTCGTTCATTTAATTATATATCAAATTCTATATTATCCTATAAACCTATATTTCAATATTTGTCTTCCCTTTTGCTTCTATTTCCACTAAAAATGATTGATCACCTGACGTATTCATTATGTAGCAATTTATTTATTCTGTAGCAAGTTATTTGACTGGTTGCGGTGGGAAAAGTGCCGGTATGGTTAGTGTTAAATAAGCATGTAATGTTCTTATTTGATAGTATAATGTACACTTTATATATACTTTAACCAGTCAACTGTGTTTGACGAGTATACACGTCATCGTAAAGCTTGACACGATACTGATTCTTTCAGCGATGAATTCTTTATTTTTTTCACATAAACATGTAATTCTTCTTTGTCTCGCTTTGATCTTTCATTAAAATATACTCTACGCGCATTCGTCCTGCGTTCGACGAGTACACGCTCCGTTTTTTCATTTTATCGCGCGCGGAACGAGAGATTTTTCCAACTAAATTCCACAGTTAACTGGTTAAAATTCTGCGTTTTCCTTCGTTCATTTAACCACTTGCGCTGGAAATGAATTCAGAGATTTGGCAATGTCTCGCGCGATGAATTTTATTTTTACCTATTTTACGCTGACACGTACATCAATTTTGTTTGTTAATCGTTCTGTATAGAGTGATACATTTCGAAACAATCTAATAGGCGTAATGCAGCAAGATCGTCAATGTGTGAAAGACATAATTTTTTTATTTTATTGCGCGCAGAACGAGAGATTCTTCCAACTAAATTCCACAGTTAACTGGTTAATAAGATTTCGACGTTTAATTCAGTGTTCTGTAAGAAAGACTTTTAATGATTCTAGAAATTCTCGTCCGCAAAGGGTTAATCTTTGTTCAGCACACGCCCTGTATACCGCCAGCACCGGTGTTACGTAACCACGTGGCCGGAAGAAAGGAACGGGGAATCGATACCGGCGAACGAGAAGAATTAATCGTCGTCCGTGTTTACGCGCGCGTTCGCGTAATCCGTCCCGTAACGGCGAATAGTCGTCGCGATTCGGAGAACGAAAATATCGGACCCGGTACGAATCATCGAGATATAAAGTCGAAGTCAGCGATTATATACTGTATCCTCCGTTTTGTTGCTGGCATTTACTTCGGATATTCCGCGAACGAACAGCTTTTCGATCGTTCTAACCGTAAGGGTATTTGTTAATAAAAGAGAAAACTTATAATCGATAAATGCAGACACATTATTGTAGTTGCAAATAATATGCAGTTCTGTGAATATCTCGAAAAGAACTTTAGATGAATATCTATTGGATCATAGATCTTTAATTATTAATAGATATTGAAGCTACAATTAATAAATATAAATTTGGTCTTTAGAAGTCTTCAGCATATTAAATCTACATATCTACTATCTACTATGCATCTATAAATATTTTCAATTTAAACATTTGCTTATTTAGTTTATTTTCAGTTCCAAATTATTAGATCTACATTTATCAATAGATATAGAAGCTATAATTAGTAAATATTAATTTGATCTTTAGAGATCTTCAGCATATTAAATCTACATATCTACTATCTACTATGCATCTATAAATATTTTCAATTTAAACATTTGCTTATTTAGTTTATTTTCAGTTCCAAATTATTAGATCTACAATTATCAATAGATATTGAAACTATAATTAATGTATATAAAATTAATCTTTAAAGACCTTCAGCATATTAACCCTTTGCACTCTGTAGGCTCCACTATGACACCATTTATACTATTAAATATTTTAATGAATAAATCTAGAAGAACTCTCCTAAAATTGCTGGATCTTCTACACATCCAAATTTTGTACTAAGAAGGAAAATAAAGAAATCTAAGAGATGTTACAATATAACATTTTTCATTTATGCTAGAGATACTATAAAAACGGCTTGGAGTTGTTAGTAGATTACAAAATCATCTGGAGTGCTAAGGGTTAAATGTACATCTATACTATCTACTATAAATCTATGAATATTTTCAATTTAAACATTTGTTTATTTAATTTATTTTCAGTTTCAAATTATCAGATCTACTATCTACCTAATATTATTTCCTAATTGCATTCACAAAGGAGCTACAGGTTGTGACCATAGCCTGAACAGTTGCACATCAAGCGTAAACGACGTAACGTACAAAAGGGTTAAGTGGTCGTTCCTATTTACCTTATGATGCAGAGAGCCATTGTTGCCCCCGTGAACCCTGACGATGGCTTGAAGACTGGCCGGCGTGCTGGTCGACTTCGTTATCGTTCTGCCAGACGTCTCTGGCTCGGACACCAGCGCTCTGTCTGATAATTCACGCCAAGAATTTCATTAGACGTTCTCCCAACTAGATTGGCAGCTGGCACGCGAAAATTATACGCCCCACGAAGATCAGAGGTGGATTAAAATTAAGATTAAAGAACATGCATTTCACCTCTGTGCATTGTCAAACGTGCGCGATTTCTGATATTGTTTGATCCCGACGGAAATCGTTTAAAATCGATTTCATGCAATCACTTTGAAAGCGTTCTAATATTATCAGTTAATAAATTATCAGATATTTGACTTCAATTTTAACAGTGTTCCTTTTCTCTCTTTCATAAACGTTTCTGTTATTTCTGATTATTATCAGTTATTAAATTATCATTCAATTATCTTTCCTCTCTTTCATAAACGTTTCTGTTATTTCTGATTATTCCCGGACGCCCAGTAAAAAAGGGGATCGATCAATCACAATGCTCGCAGCTCGAAGAAAATAAACACCGACGGCTGACCGTTTGTAAAACGAACAGCGGACGACGGTTTAAACAAATTCGCCTGGGTATCTGCGTCGCGCTAGTTCTCGCGCCGTTCTCGTTCATGTAATGAACCCGGTCGATTTTAAATGGAACGTATTAATCTGAATAGCCGTGGGCGATGATTAATCGCCCGCTGACGTGTCAATTTCTCGCGGAACCAGTTTAATCTTTGCTCCTTTTCACGCGGCGCGATTCGATCTTTGATGGATACCGGCCTCGCGCCTCGGCGACGGGAATAATCGAAGAGCAGGACTGAATACGATCCGAATATTCCAATGACTATGAGAAGTATCGACACACTTTGGAAATTCTAACTGAATATCGAACGAAATTCAGCTTGTTAACAAACTCAAAGGTTCCACCTAATATTACAGTGAAATCGAGATTCAAACAGCATCAAACATCGCATTGCATTATTCTTCGTAGAACCATCAACTCAAGCCTTTAGTGCAGTCACTATTCCCATCGATCGATCCTTGAAATCATCTACTTCTCACAAGCTACTCTAATAATCTACTATCTCATTAACACGTTAAATGCCGCGCGGTTTCATATAGCAAACTACACGAAATGGAAAAAGAATATTTAATCACTTCATTATTACCGCACGTTCTAGCTGAACGTCACCGCGTTAGCATTATTTATAATATAGAAATTCTTTCAAATAATCATCGTTTCATCGTATCATAGTTTCAGCGAACTATAGTAATTCGATTTAGTTGGCACTCAACGTGTTAAATCAACAATCTACATCGTCTCTACGAAATAAGATCTAAAGATCTCTAGCAATTCAGCGTTCTACATGCAAAGTACAATATCGTCGCGAGACATTCGAACGTTCCGATATCAAAGATCATCGAAGAGAAACAGTCTATACCTCTACCAGCAGCAAGACTCAAGCAGTGTCTAATCTCTTCTAAGTATTACACGAACGAAACGAAAAGTCAAATAAGAAGAGTAAACGCTACGAATTGACAAAGGAGAGTATTCGCAATTACCACGAGAGTCGATCGTTGATCGATAATTCCCGAAGTACCGTTTACCTGGAACCTTGCCGTATTTATGGGGCAACAGGGGTGCCTCCATTGTCTTGCTGGTGTAGCTGGGCGAGCTGGTCTGGCTGAAGCTGTCCGAGGACACGTTGCTGTCCTGCCTGACGCTGATCGGCTTCGGCACGGGGCTCTGCGCGATCGCGCAGAGCGGCGGCGGAAGGTTCGTCTGCGTTGCCTTCGGCAGTTTCTCCAGTTTCTCGGCGCAGTTCTTCTCTTTCCTGAAGTTGTGCTGCAGAATGCACCTCGCTCGGTCCATCTCCGCCTCGTATTTGCCGCGGGACGCAGCCTCCTGGGACTTGTGATCCGCGTGCAGTCGTCTTTCGAGATCCTGGGAGGCTCTCTGCAGCTCCTCATATCTGAATCATCGAAAATATCCCTTATCTCGCTCGCAAACGTCGCGAACTGGAGTAAATAGTTGTACAGAGTGGAGATTATAAAGCGTTACAGTCGAATATCTCCGAAAATATTGATTATACATTGACACATGTTATGTTTTGGTGTGAATGTTCGAAGGCACGAATTAAAGTACAAATAAAACGATCACACCTTTTCTTCATTTCCCGGCAAGTTCGACCTTGCATCACCTTGAGTCATAGTCGTTGAATTCGTCTTAAAACGCACTATTTGATTGTGGATAAAAAAAGGTATCATTCTATTTGAAAACAGAAAGTTGACCTTCACCTCACCTTGGAGTGTTCACCAGGAAAAATGAAAGTTATATATATCTCCAATATTTTTGGAGATATTCGATTGTAACGCTTTATAATTTCCAACCTGTATAAGTTCTTTCTTTTGTCCGATATTGTACTTCTAACTTGGAACATGTTTGCGGTAGCAAGTTAGGTTAGGGTATGTTCTTCGATAGAGATTGCTGACTTTGAGCTTCAAGATACTTTCTAAGACAAGTCGGGTAACACGTGAAGAGAAGTTGTTCTTTAAAATTACTTCTTGCTAATTACTTTAGTATTGTATCTATTAGACGAACTCATTACGGAAACGGGGATGGACGAGGATAACCCTCTGCGCTGTATGCATTTTTGGCAACAGTAGTCTACTCCAAGAATCTTCGATGCTTTATAAATCTCAATACTCCACGAAAACCATTTTCTATTAAAAAGGCAATAATATTAACCCTTTGCACTCGACAGGTAACTCTCAGTCACCATTTGATTTGATACAGCAAAGCTATGAAGTTAAATAATCAGTACATTAAATTAAACTTTGCATTGTTACGTGAAATATTCAAATAAAATATCTTTATTGCTTAATTTATCTGTGAATCGTTAGATTAGGTTCAAACAACGTCGTCTGTATCTCGTCGAAAAATTTTGAATATTTCCAGCAAAAAACTTTCGAGTGGGGTTAACACACCGACCTGCGATAATCCAGGATTTTTCTATCGTTTAATTGCTAATTCTCATGAATGCAACATATTATATATGAATAACACAATCCAAACTGAAATTACAAAATCAAATTCCTTCTCGTAGCTTACAAATTTCGGTTTGATCGATGAAAATGTCAATATTTCACGTGTCTAGTAGCTGAAATTTATCCGGCGTACAATGCGTCGACTATCAGATAATCTACACGATAATGATAGCAATAGAAAGCGTCAGCTCTACATTGATTGCTCTAAAGCAAAAGGAGATAATCCGTTGACAGTGTAACTAGTTGAAGCACCCTTTCGCCGGCTGCGCCGGGAGCACTGATAGCCGTCGCGCAAAGGGTTAATATCGAAAATAACGATCGCGGCGGAGCGTCGTCGATGCGGCGCTCAATTACGCCGGTTCATCGTCTGAAGGGCCGTTATCTCGCTTATCGGTGAATCGTCTACCTGGTAGCTGGCCTCTCCTTGATCGCCCGGTTATTGTCGTCCTCCTCGTGCAGCCTTCTCTCGAGTTTCCTCGAGGCCGCCTGCAGCTCCTCAAACTTGCACCTCCTCTCCGCCTCGCGGCGCGACCTCAGCAGCGCCGCGAACTTCGTCTCGTCCTCGTGCGTGGCCTCCCTCCGGGACGGGGCTAATTTTTCCCGAGACTTTCCGCCGTCCGCGGCCTCCTCATTGCCCTCCGACCCGTCTCGCTGCTGCTGCTGCTGCTGCTGCTGCTGCTTGCCGAGCTTCGACGATGGAAGCCTGTCGAACGGGGCCAGGTGTCGTAACGACAGATAAAAGAAGTTTGGAAGAAGCGGGGGCGGAGGGAAGGGGAAACGGAGGAAGAACGACGCACAGATCGAATTAACCTCCTGACAACCCCGTTCGTCTCTCGCCGCGTCAGCTGATTTATTAAAAAAGTATCCACCGAGAGGAGACGGCGCTACCAAATTGCTGGAAGTTTCGTTGATAGGGCACATCGCAGATGGCCTAGTTTTCTTGAAATTATTTCGTAAGTGGCATTGGTATCTAAGGGAAGGAGTAAGTGTTTATTAACATTTCGACTGCCACGTCATCCGAACTCGGGTGACATTATTTTTTATAGAAACGTGGATTTCTTTCATGACGTTTCCAACGAACCGAATTTTGTTGGATGTACGAGATATAAGAAAGATAGTGGAGCAATTATTAAGAAGAATCTTGATTTCTCAGTTTCTGGTTAATGGAGAGAACTGTTTCGAGTACATGGTCGTATATTTAATTATTAGTGCTTCTCGAGTTTTATCATTCTTTTTCTTCTTTCACCATGTTATAGATTCATTAAGATTTTTATTTAGATCATGAATTTGTGAATTTTATTTGTAACTGTTAGGGAAATTCCGTTAGGTTCATTAATTATCTCTCCGTTAGAAATTCTCAAGGTACTCACTGCGTTAACAAGATAACGGATGTTTGTCTAAGAATTGAAGAAATTGATTTAGCAGTACACTGAATTATAAATCGATTGAAGTCTCGATAGATGCTCTTGAAGTTGCTATTGAAAAATTCCAGAAAGTCGATTGAACTGCTATGTTTAGCTTTAAATGATTGGTACGATTTTATCGTAACGTTCTTGGTGTCTCAGTTGAGCGATCCTAATCTTCTCGGAGATTGTTTCAACAGTTTCAGCAGACGTGTAATACGGTTTTGTAATATTGTCGGAAGATGAGGAGCCCGTAGCCATGCCGTTCTCTTGAAATATTCCTCCGGCGAATAAATTCCGTGGGCACGAAGAACGCCGAACGCGTCTCGAATTCCGGAGGCACGTTACTTCGACATAACACGAGACTGAAGAATCCCGGTAACTAAATTACCTTTACCCTCCTGATATTCTCCATTACCGGGAACTTTTGCCAGGCACCGGTAATTGCATACGAAATAGAGCAGAAACTTCTGTACAAAGGTCTCGAACGGATTCTTGTGTTCTTTGGTACTGGGGACTGATCGAGGTAATTGTCAAAGAGATTGGAAGCCTGCTCCGCGATCGAAATTACATTATCTTTAGACCGTGGATTCACGGTCCGAATGGTTTCGTCGGCTCTTCGATAAACAGGGTAACGGGAATTCCATTGGAACCTGAAGAAATATTTTCGTTTATATCAACATACACAGAAGAATATAACTGCATTACTAAACGAAATCTCTCGTGAAATTTCGTACCGAAATAATCACTTCAAAAGAATTTTACTGATTATATAAATTATTTGGAAGAATTTAATTAGTTACATGAATTATCGTTTCGGCAGAATTTCACATATGAATTATCATTTGGAAGTAATTTGACATGAATCATCGTTTCGAAAGAATTCCGCGTATAAATTATCATTTGAAGGAATTTGATACATGAATCATTTCGATAGAATTTCGCTTATGAATTATTCTGAAAGAGTTTCATGATATTCAATAATAGCGACCAATTCCCGAGACAATTGTCATTTCCCTTCAACGGCGCGTTAAAATATTATTTAATCAATCTACAACAAACCCAACTGCGATTTTCGCTGTTCAACAGAATTCCCGTGCCAAATATCCACTGAAATAAATTTCCCACGGATTGATGCGTCGATAATTTCGACGGCTTCTAAGCGACGCGACGTTTCCGCGTCCGCTTCGCTGATTCGCAAAGAGTCCCAGGAGTCCCGCGTCGCGCGGAAGACGAGCTTTTATCTCGGCGCTTTCTTCGGCGTGCACTAAAGCACACGGGCACGTAAACGTCGGGGAATTAAAACAGGTTGCCGGGCCAGGCCACTTCGAGAGCGGAACGGTGCGCCCCCGGCCGAGCGGTCTAGATAAAGTCGAAACTCACGCTTCGTTTAACAAGCTAACAGCATCACGCTACTAATTCGAGGCAAGCGTGGAACACGCTCGCGACCTGCGCTCAAGCACCCTCCGACTACCCGAGGATCTTCAACTCGACGCTAACTTCCTCGGGGAACGCGTTTTAACAAATTACCCTGCGAACGAAATTCGTTCTACCAATTCTGACTCTTTTCTATCTTCAGCTTCCCATGGAATCATTTCACCCGAAATTTCGTTTTGTCGAAAGAAACATGCGATGCAAATTCTGTCCTACTTCAGAATCCATTTTATCTTTGTTCTTCGCGGGCCATTTTATTCGAGATTTATTCGTCGTCGAAGAAAGTGGAGGTTTACTCTATTTTAATTACTATTAGTGATGTTCTATTGATCTATTTGTAGTTCAAATCTCAATCAATGACTTCAGTCCTTAAATATTCAACAAAGTACTTCGGAAAGGCGAGAATAATAGTTCTCCTAAACGTACGCGTTTCTCCTTTCCCCTTCAATCTACAAAACAAAAGATTCTAATCGTCGAAATCAAAAAGGTCCAGAACACTGGAAAGTCAATGAAAAATGTCTCGACATTCCGGAAACGAGCATCGAAATAGAAAACGAAGATTCCCTGGCATTCCCTCGTGATTCACACGACAGATTTTCATGGGAAAAATTTCCGGCTGCCGCGTCGTTCCGCGAGCCTGGAATGAAATTACCAGCAACGGTCCGATGACGTAACCTCGTCACGTATAATGGCCCCGGAGAGGAACAATATTACACGCGGTCGAGGGTCGAATAAAAAATGCTCGGTCCGCCGAGCGGCGACGTGGATGCATTTTACGGGCGATCGACGCACGGTCGATTTTTCTCCCTTCCTCTCCTTGGCTCTGTCAAAAAAAGTGCCAACGATCGATGAATGGCTGCGAGCTAGGTAATACGCGCGAAATCTGTGCCGCGCGCTTTGACGTCGACGAGGTTCGCGCTATCGCTCTTTTATCTCACTTCTTTCTCACCCTCCGTCGGTCCCTTTCCCCCTTTATCAATTCACTCGCCGCCGAATTGATAACTGCCAGCGCACCTCGCAGCCTTTCAGCTTTTATCAATTATTCCCGGAGTACTTTAAACCTGCAACGACATCGAGGAGATTGCTTTGCCATCTGGATGTTCCAGAATAGCCCTAATATCCGCTGATGTTGTCTATAGAATCTCTGTCGAGCGACAGAGACATGAGTTTCAGGAACTCTAATATCTTGTTGCTTATTCACCTATAGTTTCACTTATAATCTCTCATCTATCCAGAAATCGAGGACACACGAATAATCAATATAAAGTAACAAGTTTCATAAATCTCGACAGTCCATTGTTCTTAATACGTTGAATGCCGCACGATTTCACGGAGCAAACTCCACTAAATGATAGAAGATACAATTTTAAAGTATTGGATTGAGATATGCAATTATTACTGCACGTTTATCTTATTGAACATCACTGCACTAGGTAATATTATTTATATAAATGTTTCCAAATAATCACCGTTTAATCGAGTGAATTATACCGATCTGATTCGGGTCACCATGGCATTCAACATCTTAAGATTAACTCAAGAATCATTATCCTCGATAGATTCCCAAGAGAAAAGCTAAATTGTATATACAACCAACAACATCTGCAATCACGAAGCAAACAATCGTTAATCGATCTCAGCGCGAAGTCTCCGTTACGGCTTCGCCGTTACAACACAACAGGGTTAATTTGCGACTGCCGTCGCACGGTTCCGACTCGGACAACTCGGTAGGAATCATCGAGAATCGAGTGCCGCCGGGAAGCCCGCGTCGACCAAATATTGACCGAATTTCGCCGTCGGATTATAAACGCGCCCTTACCTCGTGTCGCTGTGCACAGTTTCGGCCTGCCTCTGACGCTCGTCCCTGGCGGCCTGATGATCTTTGAACTTCGTCTCGGCGCTCTTCACGATCCTCTCGTGCAGCCTCTTCTCGAGGTCGCGGGAAGCCTTCTGTAGCTCCTCGAAGCTCGACTTCTGGCTGAGCTTGCAGCCCTCCTCGAAGTTCGCCTTGTCGAAGTCCGCGACGAAATCACTCGACTCGCCTGTATCCTCTTTTCCGGTGAAGCTCAGCGAGTAATCGGGGGTGCGCTGATGATCTTGAGACCGGAACGGACCCAGGTCGACCAGCTTCTCGTTGTCGTCGGCCCAGCCGCCGATCGAGGAAGAATTGATCGGCTTCGGCTCGGTCGATTTCTGTTCGCTGTTCGATTGGCTCTCTTGGCGTGTCGCTGGCAGCTGTATCGGTATCGGTTTCTCGTTCTTCCGCCTCTTAGGGATCGCTGGGGGGCGCAGCGGGATTGGCGGAGGAGCTACCTACATCAACAAGTTAGTCCTTGATTCAGTGCGTTGATGTGGTGTGATGATGTTGCTGTTATGAATGAATAATAATGAATTACAATGAATAATCTAATAATGGCATGTTATTATTATGATGTTTCTATAGCAATGAATAGTAATATACGGTAATGGATAGTCCATCGATATTTCCATATTACTGTACCGTTACTAACATCTATTGAGTTGAATATTACTAATTACTAATTTATTAGTAATTAAATTCTATAGGCTGATTCTCTTCTGTTACAATCGCAAACTTTCTTGTTTCTATAGCAATGAATAGTAATATTATACGTTAATGGATAGTCCATCAATATTTCCATATTACTGTACCGTTACTAACATCTATTAAGTTGAATATTACTAATTGCTAATTTATTAGTAATCAAATTCTATAGGCTGATTCTCTTCTGTTACAATCGCAAACTTTCTTCCTTATTGTAGTTATATAAATATTGTTTATCACATAGTTCTCTTTCAACGTTAATTTCTTCTCTATAAAATCACTTTGCCCTTAGAACGAGTTCAGTATTTTAAAAATCAACCGGTTGACCAATTAGATCCTCATTTATTCGATAATTAAACGCGTACTAGACCGAGTCCACGTACGAGCATATTTCGTCGCTTCTGCTCGATTTAATATCTACTCGCAGCCATGAATAGTGTGCCCGCCAGGATTACGCCATCGCTTCTCGCTCTGTCGTTGTTAATTCGCGATGTGTCGCCGTTCGCCGCTAACCACCGGCCGACCTTACCATCCTATGATTTAGACGCCAGAGATTACTCGAACTTCCCAAAGAAACCAGCTTCCGAAGGAGAGCGGCTCAAAGAGATACCCGAGTGCCCTTTCACTGAGAATACTTTGCAACTTCCGCCGCGCGAACTATCGGTTCCGTCGCGAACAATTTCCAAGCTAATCTAATACACAATAATCCAGCGTAACAATAAATCAACAACGTTCTACGGTTGAAGGATCACGGTGCTGTGCTTTTCAAATACTTCCGAACCGCTCGATAAGAGAAGACAAAAGAATCTGCCGAAGGAAATAGATTAGCAAAGTTTCAACTTGCCGCTAACAGTAATTCGAAAGGCCAATTTTAAAGAAATAAAATCGTTTGGTATAAGAAACTAAAGATATCACATTTGCGAAACGAATCACGAAGATAATTCAATTTTCCAGCGACGATTCGAGACAACGCTAATTTCATCGCACAGGTGAACTACAATTTTTCTATTATATTACTCTGATTAAATTAGAAGGCGCAGAAAGTTCCCACTTTTCCCTCGACGACAGAAATTCCTTGTTCAAGGAAAAAGCTGTATCGAGTTGACTTACCGCAGGTGCGGCGGAATGGCGTCGCGGTATCGGCGGCGGAGCGCCGCTTCCGGTGGGTGGTGGTTCCGGAAGCAGGGACGTTCGTGCGGGCAACCCGACGCTGTGAATTCTGGTCTGCCTGGAATCGCAGTTAAAAGGGTATGCAAAGATAAATCGCCGAGAGAACGACTCGTCGCTCGCTCGAAAGCAAAAAGAAATCGTCGCGAGCGTCGTTTCCGTCGCGAAAAGTAGTTTTTGAATAGCGGGATTGCCGATAATTGGCGAGCATGCGTCGATTGCTTAATATCCCCGAGTCTCTGAGGGATCTGGCTGTCCAATTAAATAGCTCGATTCAACTAGCGCGTTCTTTCAGAGCAGAGATCGTCTCCGCGAATCCTGGATAATTGAATAGCTTCCACAGGAAACGCTGTCAGTGCCAAAACTGAGAAATTTCCTTTTCCCATTCCTGCAGTATATAATTCAAATGCAACTTTCTTCTCGCAAATATGTTAGTATTTACTTAATATTACAATGTATTATTTATTATATATAATATTCTGCTTCAAAGATAGTCCACAAGCACCTAACAGTAAGTGCCAAAACTGAGAAACCTGTTTCTAGTCTCATTCTATAAGATACAATTCAATTGCACTTTTTCTCTTGCAAATAGTCATTAACAGCAGTCATCCATAATGCAGATAACATTGAGAAATAACATAATTACTTAACGTTCAACGTAATATACTGATACTAGCACTCACAACCTTTCCCACGAATACTCTTCAACTTCCGTTTCACTTGGCACCGGCGTGAATTACAACTGGAACGCGACATCGGGAAGAAGAAACGAGAGCGAAGCTTCATCGGGCAATCTCGTTACTCTAATTAACGCGGTCCTTTGTCAACCGCGCGAACACGCAACAGGGAAACTCGAGAGAGACGTCTAGCCGCGATTAAATATCCCGCTGCGTTAACGCGAAAAAGGAGAAGCGGAGAAGGAAAAATGGCGGACGCCGGGGTAAAGCGAGAGGTGCTAAACGGATTAAGAAACGCGGAAAGTTCGGAGGGAAGTTACCGGTGTGCGCGGCCGGTGTACATTTCGCGGGAGATAGAATTAAAAATTTGTTTCCGTTTTTTTTTCTCGTCGAGAAGCACGACCAGCTACGCGTAAATTGAAAGGGATTAATTTTTAATTACCTCGGCTGACGCGTGGGACTCGTATCGCCGCCATGAGCCTCCGTCCCGGACATTTTAACCTCTGCAATCAATAACAGGCAAAAAGAAGCGATTCGTTCGCCGTTGATAAGCAGTCTGGTTAATGGCGTTGCTTGAAACGACTGCAACGAGGCTCGAGTGAGAGCCAGTTGAAACAGACCTGACAAAGTAGTTTCGGCAAACACTCGCCGCTACGCGCGAGTTAATTACGCCGAGTAATTGCGCCCAATGGAGCCGCTTTCGAATCGTTTCGTGCGCGGCTCGCGAGCGAAGAATTTGCGATTCGAACGTTGCGCACTTGAATTTTTGGGCATTTTTTTAGATAAGTGCTGTTTCGCTGTTCTTGAAGTTACTTGATGGTTTATTCAGTGATGTTGATATCTATTTAACTAGCTGAAAAATTGCTAACCAAACTACGGAACTTTACACCGTCATTTATTGCAGCGCGTGTACATAATATCGAATATTAAAACTACCTATTTACAAATTACGAAACGTTTCACGTGTGAAATAGTTGAACGGTGTTCGTAGAGAACCTTATAAGTGCCATCAAATTTTCCGGAACGGAGAAGGTTACCTAACTTAATTGAAGGTTATGTCGTAACCATGTCATTCTCCAATACTATCGATACAAGTATTCTCAGTTACAGATCCCACGCAACACGAAGACATACATAAAATCTCCAATGTGTAGTATCTGTAGTACACAATAGAAAAGATTATTTCCAATCACAATTCTCTGCTTTCTCAATCGTCTATTCAAAGACTTCAATGTGCATAAAGGTCCACAATCTAATTATCAGCAACACAATTTCCATGTATCATCGATACATTAGAAAAGAAAACGTTAAATCGAATGCTACAATACAACGTTTAGCAGAACATTTGTGAGATTTGGCACTTACAGTGTTTTCTACGAGAACTCTCCGATTCACGAGGGAGAAGAGGCGGAAATGCGTCGCGCGAATCGCGCGAAGGGAAATGAAGATCAAACGACGTGGGAGATCGTTCACAGACGCGGCGAGGCCCGTGACGTTTAACCGAACGGACCGTTCGCGCATAGTAGTGACAGTGCCACTTCGGCTCACTATCAAGTGAAAGCACTATTCAATTTCCTGCTATCTCATCGGCGTGCACCCTACCACGAGGGTCGGCCCTACCAGACTGCAACCGGAGGATCGATGTGCCGGCAACCGCCCCCGCTGTACTCGACAAAAGCACTCGGCGCCTCTCTCTAACACTTCCGTTTTAAATACCCGCCATATTCCTGTTCTCCTTTTGTTCCGGCGTCTAGCACCAGTCATCGTAATTTTTCCGCCCATCCAACGACTAAATGAGCAACGAGTTATGAACATTCATCTACGATCGACGGAAGCCTCATCGATTCCATGCAATTCTTTTGGAATTTCTTTTGTGATAATTCAGTGAAATCCTTGAACTTCTCCAAGAAAGTATAAATACAATACTTAGATCATGTTGAACTTTCTTTTGTTGCGGCGTCTAGCATCATCGTTATTTTTCCGTCGATCCAACGACCAAATGAGCAACGAGTTATGAACATTCATCTACGATCGACGGAAGCCTCATCGATTCCATGCAATTCTTTTGGAATTTCTTTTATGATAATTCAGTGAAATCCTTGAACTTCTCCAAGAAAGTATAAATACAATACTTAGATCATGCTGAACTTTAACCCTAACTCTACTTGAAATTCTAGCAACTATGCAGAACAGGTTTGTCGAATAAAGGTTTTAAACTTACGTTTTATTTTACTTATTTTATTATGAAGAATGTATTCGATAATTGAAGAATGCGAAGATTGTATAAATAATTATCATCAGATTATTATACGAACGAAGGCGTGATACGAAGGTTAACAGGTTGATTGCCATAGAGGTCACCGGTGATTCCCAATCAAATTGAATTACTATAGTTCATTCGGTTAATCGATGATTATCCGAAAACATTTCTATATTATATATACTACTATCTAATGCGGTGACATTAAATGATCCAATCAAACGATTCAATATTATGTTTCCTCCATTTCGTGTACTTTGCTCTATGAAATCGTGCGGTCTGTTAACCTGCTGCTCTCGGAAGTATTTCGTTCGAAATATTTCACATTTTCTAACTGGACACAGACGATATTCTTTTAAACGAACTCAAAGAGAAATCGCGAGTAAATTGAGAAACAAAGCTGTTTATCCCAATATTTCACACACAGTTCAATATTGAATATCAAAATTTTATAGTTTCACAAAGTGCAAAATTATAAAATTTGATACTTAACCCTTCGTACTCGAAAGTTTTTTACTGGAAATATTCAAGATTTTCCGACGAGATACAGACGACGTTGTTCGAACCTAATCTAACGATAATTCACAGATAAATTAAGCAACATACTTTACTTAAATATTTCACATAACAATACAAAGTTTAATTTAACATACTGAATATTTAACTTCATAGTTTTGCTGTATCAAATCAAATGGTCACTGAGAGTCACCTCTTGAGTGCAAAGGGTTAAACTTCGTATAGTGCATCAATTTGAGAAATATTCAAACAAAATAGCTTTGCCCCTCAATTTAAGTGTGATTTCTCATCGTGTTAGTTTCACAAAATATCCTCTCATCAGAAAACGTTAACACTAGGTTTACGGGCATTTATTGCACACTGCATTCTACTATTCCTAAAAAAATCGATGCTCGTTTATTTAGATTGTGGAAACTGGAGATTCGATAGTAGGTGATTGGGGTACACGTCAGTGTGATCGCATCAATCAAAATCGGCGTAAACATTTACAAAATAATATTTCTAAAATCCAATATGCGTCAATTCGACGCGTTCCGTGAACCTAGTGTTAAAATATTTCTAATGAAAAACATCCAAGTGCAAAGGGTAGATAGTGCCAATTAGAAAAACCGCGATATCGAGCGTAATTTACAGGAAACGCCGTTGCATCCGGCAAGAATCGTACGATCGGAGGTTTACTCGCTGGTAACCGAAGCTCGGCCACGCGTCCGCGTCGTGGGAAGCGGAAGGGGGAATCACGGGAAAGCCTCGAGGGGAAATACACGGGGGCCGCCGCGAAATTACGCTCGACGGCCGTTTTCTTCGGCAATGGGAGAAGCCGTGGTGGCACGCAAATTGAATCAATTTATATTGCTGCGAGCGTTACGCGAAAGTCCCCGTGTACCGACGCCGCAAACTCAATTAATGCCGGGCCGACGCGACGTCTGGCCGAGCGGGCGACACTTTTCTCGGCGAAAATACACCGGCGAGGATGAAATGTAAATTCCACCCCCGCCCCCGCGACCCTCGCCATTCGTGATATCGAATTCTAATAATTCCCGCGAACAGCTTGGACGAAATTCCACGGGGCTGAGTCGGTAAGAATAAAAAACGCGAATTTCAATGGCAAAGGAATAAAGCGATATTATTCCAACGGCGGAGCGGCGAAATGAAATTTCTTAGCGGTTGAAGATGGCTGCGGATTTGCATGAAATATAGGCATCGTGAATTTAGTGGGAGGACTCTCCGAAAATGTGATTGGTTTATTCGACAGTTTTTGGATAGGTAAGTTATGATTGTTCACTCTTTGCACTCGAGAGATGACTCTCAGTCACCACTTGATTTGACTTGCAAAATTATAGTCTTATATATAATATTAAGCTTTGTATGATGCATCGGTACATGGAATATTGAAATAAAATAACTTTCCTTAATTTATACATGATTTCCATTAATTAGTTTCAAAGTCTCTCAGGAGACTCAGTCACCACTTGATTTTATTTGAAAAATTATAAAGTCTTATATATTGTATAATATTGAACTTTGTATGATGCATCAATATATGAAATATTGAATTCTTATCGGAGAATATTGAATATATCTCTAGTGAAAAACTTTCGAGTACAAAGGGTAAAGACACATAGCTATGCAATTTTGCTAATTATTATAGTACTTAGAAGAATATGAAATTTAATTCAAATTGATTGTCTATTACAAATTCATTACATAACAATATGATATTTGAGTTTTTGTATGTATAGCAATATAAGTTGATCTCACTGAAAATTTCCATCCAAGCAATTCAGTTTTCTGAAAAGTAGCCGATACGCGATGTGTTAAGGCTTTTATTAAGCGATAAGTTGAATAAATAACGTTGTATATTTAATTATCAGTGCTTCTCGAGTTTTATCATTATTTTTCTTTTTCCACCGTATTATAGATTCATTAAGATTTTTATTTAGATCGTGAATCTGTAAATTTTGTTTGTAACTATTAGGAAAATTCCGTTAGACTCATTAATTATCTCTCCGATAGAAATTCCTCCGCGAGCAGGTGCAGCAACGTTCTCGTACTGTACTATTCGTTAATAACTCTCCAATTAGAAGTTCGAGGTAAATCATATAATTTGCGGTCTGGAGAGAGAGCGGCGACCGAGCATGCTTTCCCTTTTCGCGTATTAATGTATCGCGAAGGAAGGGGTACACTGCCAGCTTGACCGCCACCCTCTGCCCTGAAACTGAAAACTGACCGCAGAGTACTATGGGCTCGGCGATGGTCAATTGGAGAACTGAGAATCAGTGGTGTAAGTCACTAATGTGATATTCCGCATGAAACAATGCGTCGTTATTGTCAAAATGTCATACAGATTCAAATCTGTAAACATATCTACAGTTACAAAGAAATATCATAATATATATCTATTTAAAAATTAAGGTACAAAAAGTATTTTCATAAAGTTAACGCAGGAACTTCCGTTCTAAGTCTTCCAATTTACTGTCTTTAGAAAAATAAAGATTCTTCTAATTTCTTTTCTATAAAGATTCTATAAAATATACGAAACCTTCATCAGATGAAGTTGAATTACCTATCAATTGCTTGATTAATATACAAAAAAAAGGTAATTACGTACTGATCTCTTGTTCGAGTAATCAAGTCATTCGCCCGCGACTTAGTTTTTCAAATATGAAATTTTCATCTCGCGGAGATGTCGACATTCGTCCGCAAAGGGTCAAAAAGGGATTTGATAAAGAATTTCTATGCGATCTAATTCGACGTCACGCTAACGATTTGAATTCTTTAATTCCCCCGGAGGGGTGTACTTAGAGTTAATTCCCAGGGACACTGTTGTCGAACAGAAATCCCGCGTTACATCGAAACACGGTTGGCACGACGCTCGATTGTCAGCTCGTCGAACTTGGATTATCAGCGTCGCGCCGCCGAAACAGTTTTCGGATTAGATATCCGGGCGAAACTTCGGTGTATCGGCCGGTTACGCCTCTCATCGTTGCGGTCGATCGAT